TTTTTCCTTTTTTTTTTTTTAAATTACCACTTTGGTGTTAGTCCCCAGATATAAAACAATTATTTACTTGATAATTCTGCGAATTACATTACAGCGACTACTAAACGCACTTCTACCTGCCATCTTAGAAGACACTGTTATTATTACCAGTCCATATGTCACACTGTGAACATGTTGCCATTCTTAATATTCCATTTTATTTGTCACACTACTGCTGTGGTTACCAAAACTATTTTTCTACTCTCCACCTCACTCACCAACACATCAATCTCTGTCTTGGTTAAACTGATTTTTTTTTAACTCTCTTCTCCATGGCTGCCATAGTCAAACATGGCATAGCATTCTTCAGCTGGCTCATTTAAACACACATTAACATTCTTGAGGGGCTTCACATTGACTATGGTTAAATGTGGACATGAGGGCCGAACAATTGTAGGAACCTTTTATGCAAACTTTTTGAGATGCAGCTGTGAATAATAAGGGGACTTTTGGGCTTAGCTAAGAGAGCCCGTTATAATGAAATTATTAAGGATATTGTCATACTTGTGGCGTACATTTAGCCTACTCAGTGTTTTATGAATGAGACCCCAGATCTTAAACCTCAGATGTGGGATGTTTGGAAACTGACCAAACAAGAAACAAACATGTTGCATTGGAAAATAAAGACTGGGGCAAACCTTCTTCAGTGAATGATCCACAGCTGTTAGAAAACATCTCACTGCAGCTCTTATAGGGTGTTCTCCATTTATTCCCAGCCAGAAAAGTTTTTTTTTTTGTTTACATAATTTGTTTGATAAATGAAAGAGAAATTAATAAAATACTCTGCCCCTCCTTATCTTAAATACATTATCATACCTTAATTTCTCAAAGGAGCACTTTATTTTGAGACAACTGGCTTAATTGTGCTCCCCTGTTATTACAAACATAGACCAGGGGTAGATCCTTCGGCCATATGGCCTATTTCATAAGGGAATCAGCTGCCAGCCTGGGTTCAAAAAGTTGAAACCCTCTCAGCCTTCAAGGTAAAAAAAAATAGCTTTCTTTTTGAAAGCGTGTTTGAATAGTTTATTTGTTGTTTTTAGCATCTCATCAGTTGTTTTATGTCCAATGTCTTTTTCTTTTCTTCTGGATTATGGAGATGTTTTATACAGTATATGAATGATTCAACCAAATGTCTGAAATAATTGAATACTGTTTATCATTGTGCTTTAAGGTTTATAACTGGTAGTAGATGTTTGATACATCATTGTGATTTGTGTGCAAAAGCTGATTGGCCTCCTTTAAGTGTCTTCGGAGAAACAATCATTTGATGATACTAATATATAAATCTCTTCTTGGACTAACACCAACATACTTAAGCTCTCTTTTGCATAGATCTAGTAGTTCACATTTTTTACGCTCAAATGTCTTATTCTTCTACATGTTCCTTGTGTTTGAACTGATAAAGGAAAGAAAGCATTCAGTGTGTTGGCTCCTACAGCGTGGAATCAGCTCCAGTCTGAGCTCAAGATGTCAGACTCTATTTCATTGGACTTATTTCAAGCGGTTCTTAAAAAAAGTCAACAAGCTTTTATGAAACAGTGTCACTGCTTTTAAATAGTTTTTATGCTTTATATTTGTGCATATTTCTTAATTGGTTTTATTTTTGTAACCAGGTTGCAGTGTATTGTAAATCTCTGCCCAGGCCCCCCTTGCAAATGAGATCAAGATCTCAACTTGGTTCACCCGGTTAAATAAAGGAAATGAAAATGAAATGAAAGCACTTTGAGATACTCTTATGTTAAAAAGGTTCTATATAAATTTTCTTTTGTGTTACAAAATTCATTGTGTTGGCCACAAAGCAACAATGACGTTTACTTAAGTAAGATATGCTGAACTAACATGGGAAGAGTTGTTGGTCACCCTAAAGATATTTTTGCATATCTTTTCAGCCTAAATGAGTGCCTCAAGGTTATGAACTGTTATGGAGTAGTTTGGATTCAGCAACCACATCCCTTTGAACATGAGAGCTGGTGGTTCCATCATGTTTGGGGGCAAAGAAAATCTCACTGTCAAAGTCTAGAGTTAAAAGCAAAATAAAATCCATAACAAGATTTAGAAATGGATGTTCACCAAATCTGTTCATGGAGTCTAACCAAGTCTGAGTTACTTTAAAGAGATGAAAAGACACAGATTTTAGTCTCTATAAGCACAAAACCAATAGAAACAATTTCCAAACCGAAGTAAAATATGCCGTTCTTCAAAGTATTGACAAAATGGCCCTGACTACAAATGCAGGCGCCTCGTTTCAGAATTTTATTTGTCAAAAATAAATAAATCAAAACCCTTGTGTCATTTGGTTTGCATTGGTCTGCCGCATCCAAACAAAACTATGCTGAAATTTGTGATATTAATACACTCAAATGTAATAAAGTTAAAGCAGATATTAATACCTTTCCAATTAAGTATTTTCAATGTTTGTTCAGGACTTTTTACATGTTGACTTCTGTGCTATGTTAACCCAACTGTACAAATGGCCTCTGCTTTACACAAGATTTTTAAGACTGTGATCCCGTATTGGATGTAGGCCATGACGTGATTATGGAAAAACTAACAGCTCTTTTTTTAAGCTCTGATTTTGTGTATGTATGCTGCATAGTTTTACAAGGAGTAGTGACTTTTGACAGTTTTCAGCGATTCCTTGAGGTTAGCAGGCCTGAGCCTCTGTGTACCTCATTCTAACACCCCGCTGTGTAGGAGGACATTCGACTTTACATCAGTGAAGGTGTGCAGAAGCTAGAACGAGGGGAAAAGTGCAAAAGACCGAGGGCAAGGACACAAACATGACACCTTTACACCTAGTTGTCAGTTAGCTTTCAGGCCCCAATCTTCCTGGACTCATTGGTTTCCTTTCAAGCAACCTCTCCACACTCATGTTAGTTTTCAGACTATAACATTTAAGCCGGGTCATGCTGTAGAGTAGAGATAAAAGGAGAGGCGACAATAAACCCAGGGTTAGGAAAGACTTGAGGGTGGAAACTGGGAGAGGCTTCATCAGGCTGGAGACGGGACAGCTTTGCCAAAAATATTATGTCATCCATCAAGATCTGTATGATCTCAGAGGGTTTTAGAGATCCGAGGTGGACTATTGCATTCAGATATTTCACAATGATAAAAAACAGAGAAATGTTAATCATCATAGCCTGTGTTTTATTTCATGAAAGATTTTTCACAGCTTTTATGAACTTTCTTTGTGTACAAATTTACATATATAAACATATACACATTTTATATATATATATATATATATATATATATATATATATATATATATATACACACACACACATCAACAAAAATTAGTCAAGCATGTGTTGGGAAGCCCCTTCACTTTGAGGTTTGATGAATAGGACAAACACATTAACCAGTGTACCAGGTAAGGTTAAGAGTGGATAAATGAGCAAATGAAGTACTGATGAAAGCTCAGCTTCTGAACCAGAATTGCTGTTTCCTTTATTATTGATTCCCAGCCTTTTTGGAAAATATACCTTTACATTATGGGTTTGGGGATTTTGACCAGAGGTCTGCAAACTGTGGCATGGAGATGTATTTTAAAGTCTCTCCAATTTACGTTG